TATCAGTCCGATATATGAATTTCATTGACTTATAAATTGGTGAACAATATTAGCCTCTTCTGCTCAGGTTCATTTCCTTGGAGAGGAATCTACATTTGCTATATGAAATCAGACTATACCAACAATAATATTTACAGAACAAAAACAGAATTACATATAGATACAAAGATAGGCCTACGAGCCTCACCTAGACTTCACATCTCGGTTAAGGTTCTCCCAGCTGATCTCCTGTGAGCATTCTCCACAGGTAGTACTTTGGCCAGATTTAATGTTTTGGCTCCTAAGTGTTAGCATGTGGGCGAGATTGTTGCACTTTCTTTGATGACATGGTCTACTTTTGGAAGTTAATTTGGTTAGTTGAGGTGCAGTGCTTGCTGATGGAGCTGCTTTTTGAGTAACTGGCTTTCTTTCATGGTCATCAAAGGTAGTTGTCCTATACACCTCCTCCCACTCGAGAGATTGCTGAAAACTCTTCCAGGCCTTGTCTTGCTCCTCTTTTGTCAGCCTCTCCGCTTCGTTCTCTTGGAGGAGGGTCTCATGTTCATGGTAGCTAGCAATCCAGCTGTGTAAAACAGAAAAGTTCCATCAGTTCAACCTTTTAACAAAAAGATTGGACCTTTCGAACTCTGTAAGTAAACAAGACTGGATGATCATGGAAACTATAGAACAAATATCAAAGAGCTTATTGGGAGAATTAACATGAGTTTATGAACCATAAAAACCTGAACTTATGCAAACATACAAATGTGATTTCGAAAAGGGGAAAAAACTAAAATAAGAGATGAATATATAAAGGTTTTTCTCTATTGCATTGAGGAAGACAGCGACTTGATGACAGGATTTTTCAGTAACTTTTAAGTACCAATAGATATATTTCCAATATTTAGGTAATAAGCCAACTTTCGCTTAAACGACAAACTGGAAGGAAATGCGCATGCATAAGAACTTCCAAGGGAACTGCACAACAGGCATTGCACACACCATTTTGGATGTTACATGTTCAAGAGTCGGCTAATAAAAGTAATGAAACATGGAGTAAGTGTGTTGGATCTACCTTGAATGTTTTCTGAGTAAACTTTCCATGATCTTGTCAGATGGGCTGGTGCTGCTAGAGTAAGGCAATGACATATTTTTCACTTGACTGGATGATGCAACATTTTCTTGGCTATGATTAAGCATGTCAGTAGCTTCTTCATTACCAAATTCAAAAAGATGCCGTATTTCCTCTTTAGACATAGTTCTGTAAATCTGTTGTCTATCCACTACCCTTGCTGCAAGTCCTTCCTTTGTAACCTGTTCACAGCACTCATATACTGTTAAAAATAAAATGTTTTAAAAGTTTGGTACAAATTCAAATAGAAGACAGTAAACGATTAGCCAAAGGATGAAAAAGAATTCGGATTCTCTTATATATCTTCTCCTCCATAGTTCGATGTGACATTAAGCGGTAAGCATAAACAGGCTTGTTTTGCCCATATCTGCAAGAAAATACAAGACAAATATAAAATAAGGAAACAAAATCAAGTAACAAATAAAGCTTGATAAAAGAAATTGAAGTCGCAGTTGAAGTCATGCCTCCAAGCCCGGAAAATAGCTTGCAGGTCATAGGTTGGATTCCAAGAACCATCGACTAGGATAACACGGTTAGCAGCATGAAGGTTAATGCCCAAAGATCCTGCCCTTGTTGAAATTAACGTGCATTTCACTCTCCTGTTTGTAGGCTCATTAAATCTTTCCACAAGTTTCTGCCTTTCAGAACCATCTGTACTTCCATCTATCCTGTAAAGAATGCGGAATGAAATCTTACGAATATGATCCCAAAGCTAAAATAACTTTTGATTTGGAATATTTAAAAATTTCTTTTACTTGCAACAGTTAATAGTTTGAATTTAGAAGAAACACAAGCGAAGAGCACCAAACTCACATATATCAGAAAATTTTCAAAAAGGCAGATATATAAATTGCAGTAAATCATCATTGCCAGGACCCTTCGGCTATATGATTGCCGGTTGCTAGAATGAGGCCAGTATTTACCGGTGCATCTCCTAATCAATCTTTCATTTAATAATAACATAACATAAACATTTCACTTAAAGATGATTTCAAACAAATAATAGACATTGATAACTGTCTAAGAATAAGATTGCTCGTGAAAAGCTCAGTTCTCGGAGCAAAATTCTGATCCTCCAGTGTAGTGTACCCTGTGTCCCCACATGCTAGATGCTAAAGCTTAATCTATATCAATCAGGTGCAGAAGCATTGAACGTGTAACACATTTTTATAAATATGCTCGCCGAAGTACCTATATGGGTACCTTCTAGAAACCAAATGAGTTATATTCGTGGAACACATTCTATATCAACTCCTGGTTATTGAGCTTGTGTTTGCTCTCTTTTGCTGGATTATGCTAAAACCTAATTCATATGAGACCTGAAGCAGTATTATGTGAAGATATGATATTGATCCAACTTTATATATAATGTGTTCGGTGTTTGAGCCTTCCAGAAACCAATCGTGGCTACGTACCTTTAAGTAATTAGGTTAGAGATGCAAATGCAAATACTTGAAGGATATGCATACTGGGCATGCAACATAACTAGTCAAATACCTTTAACCTATGTAAGATATTTGCTGTATGCCTTCATACGTATAACTGCACAGTGCACACATTGTTTGAGATATCATTATCAGCCTGTGGTTTTTTGTAGCTCTATGGATGATACAGAACTAGTAGTACAAGTAAACCATTATATTTAGATCTGAGCTTGCCCAAACAATAAGTCGACATGGAGCAGTGATAACGCATCCGGCATTTGACATATACCTTCAAGGTTCATCAGAAGGTCTTCTTTTCCTCATAGTTGCATCAGTAAGAAATTGGTACTAGTTCATGGCAGGATGACATCGAAGAGTCAAACTAAGTCAATTATCTCGTG